TCAGGAGGCAACATATAGAGCTTTGAGAGGTGGACGAAGGATGAGGAAGAATAGCAGTGCTTTGGGTGGAGTCTGCACTTCCACAATCCTTTTCCGCCTTTCCACTGGTAGGTGACCTGCTGTCCCCTATTAGTCTTGATTGTGGCACGAGGCTAACTTTTTTTGAGCCAAGGTTATGTCAATGAACCTTCTCCAAGGGATTATACTCCTGCTGGGTTTTAAGAAGCAGGCTTCTTCCTCCAGTCCACTAGGATCAAAATGATTCTATGGGTTCTTATAGACCCCAGAGTGATTCCCAACAATGCCTTGGCAACTTTGAGCTCATTGAGACTCTATCCTTTTTGATGCTATTTGTCAGTTGTGGGAATATTATTCTGTGGGGTCCATTTAAATACTTCAGTGCAACCATGTATCTGATTGTATTGTACCAGCTGCCGACTTGCTCATCTCTGAACTTGTTCAGGATGTTGTTGCACCACCACTGTGATTGAACAGGTACCTGGCCACTAGCACTGCTCCGAGTGCCAGTGGCCTGGGGCATTTCTCCCTCACCCATCCACATAACTGTGGGTGTGCGGTCCTGAGCTTCAGCAGCTAGGTGCTGCTGCTAGTGGGGAGGTCCATTGGGCAGTCTTCACTGATGGTTCCTCCATGTCCTTTTCCTCTGATGTCAAGGAGGTCTCCTGCAGAAAGGATGGTTGCCACTTGGCTGATGTGCTCGGCACACTGGCTACAGCTATAATACATGGAAGACTTGCCCTGGGTGGCAATCGTTGACCAGTTATACATCAGGAAGGGACAAATTTGTTTCGGCTTAATGTCATACTTCTGTTCCTATGTTTTCATAAACAAATCAGAAAGACAGGACAAAAGCTTGGGATCATTTTTTTTAAACTTTTGTTGCCTGGGCATAACGTAGTGGAGCAGTTTGGCCACCTGTGATACAACACAAACCATTTTTATTCCATTTAAGTGATGGCTTCCCTGATACACCTTCCAACCAGCCCAAGTGAAGGCTGGCGTGAAGAAAATCAGAATGCTGAATAGGCTTTCATTGTAGGTTCTTGTGTTTGCTTTCTTCTGTTGGCTCAGGAGAGAGGAAATATTGCTTTAAGCTGAGTAAGAAAACTTTTAGGTCACTTCTGCCTGGATTGGTCCAGCTTCATCAATTTGTCCAGAAGCTTCTGACAGAAAATAAGGGATATGATTTTCACATGAGCGTCAGAGCCCTTATTTCAGGACAAAATAGGGTCCTGTGCTTGCAATTACTGGAATCAAACCAAGAGAGCTTCTTGTTCATTTGAAGATGGTGAGCAGGCTGTCAGTATCAGAGCTGCCAACAGCTCTAGAACTCCATCAAGAGAGTAGGTTCTGTTAGGACAGTTAAGTAATCTGAGGGCATGTCAAAGTAGAAGCATCCTTCATGGAAAGAAAGGGAAACCAATGTGCTGAAAATTTCAACTGCTGGTATGGCCACTGCTGTAGATGGTCCTCTTTTTTAAGTGGGTCAAAAACAGAAATTTTCTGACGAAGGGTCACTGGACCTGAAACATTTTCTCTGCTTTCTTTTCACAGATGTTGCTAGACCTGCTAAGTTTTTTTTTCTGAAATTCTGTTTTAGTTTCTGATTTCCGATATCTGCAGTTTTTTCGTTTTCGTGAATACTTGTGGATGCAGTGCCAATCAAGCGGGCTGCTTTGTCCTGAACAGTGTCAAGCTTCTTGAGTGCTCTTGGGGCTGCACTCATCCAGGCGAGTGGGGAGTATTGCATCACATGCCTGACTGTGCCTTGTAGATGGTGGACAGACTTTGAGTCAGGAGATGAGTTACTCACCGCAGTATTCCTAGCTTCTGGCCTGCTCTTGTAGCCACTGTGTTTATGTGGTGAGTCCAGTTGAGTTTCTGGTCAACGATAACCCCCAGGATGTTGATAGTGGGGGATTCAGTGATGGTAACACCAATGAATGTCAAGGGGTAGTGGTTAGATCGTCTCTTATTGGTGATGCTCATAGCCTGGCATTTGTGTGGCATGAATGTCACTTGTCACTTGTCAGCCCAAGCTTGGATATTGTCAAAATAAAATTCTTATCCAGAGTTTAAATAATCTTAAAGCAATTCCTTCTTTGTAACTAAGAAAGCTTAGAAGTTTAATAAAATCATGTGTATTGGCTTTCTTAAAAAAAAGTTTAAATATTTGATTGGAAGGCATTAATTTTTAAATAGTTCATTCAATAAGTCTTGATAGAAATGGATTTGGTTTGTTTCTTTTATCTAAGATGCAGCTGTTTCTTTTTAAGAGCACGGTGTGGATCATGTAAGGCATGTAAACCACAATTTCTTTATTTTATTATGAAATGAGAATAACAGTTGGAGAATAAAAGGAGTGCAATACTACAGGAGACCTTTTGGTTTTATGTCAGACAAGTTGAATGCATTTAATTTTATATCTTGTAAAGGTACATCCTTTCTCATAGCAATCCATAACATAACCAGTCTTAGCTGTTCATCTCCCTGTCACTGGTAAATTGCAGCAATGAAAGAGTTGGTTCTCTTCTGGCAAAACATCACAGAGTGTCTTTTGCATATATACCTGAAGCAGATGGAAGATAATTTGAATTCTGTACAGCAAGCTTCACCTTATTCTTTATCTTTTTCTTTGCCTTTTTTGCAAGTCAGGAGGACAGTATTCCATCTTGGAGTGATGGCATTAATTGAATCAAAAGTTTCCTTGGGCTGGAGCCCAAAGAGAGAGAACAGTTGGACTGACAAAGGAGTGAATAACGATCTGGCTGGGAGGGTGAATAGCTGTTAAGATCCCCACCTATCGTTTACACTTTATCCCCTCCCCCCACCCTATCTTCTACATATAAACTGACACTTTCCTAGCTACCATCAGTTCTGAGGAAGGGTCACCGGACCCGAAACGTTAACTCTGATTTCGCTTCACAGGTGCTGCCAGACCTGCTGAGCTTTTCCAGCAACTTCTGTTTTGTTTCTGATTTACAGCATCCACAGTTCTTTCGGTTTTTAGCTGTGAGAACCAGTGGGCTTGTAATGGATGTTAGTGGATAACCTATCCTCAGAAATGGAAACAGTGAAGACAAGGATGGGAAAAATCAAAGATGGACCATGTGAAGGTGAGAGGAGGATGCAAATTGGAAGGAAAATTGAATCTTTCTAATTCTGGATGAGAGCAGGAAGCTGCACTGAAGACATCATTGAGGTAGTGGAGACAGTTGTGGGTGGTGATCAAGGGACTGGACCAAGGAATGTGCATCATGTTAACCTCTCTGCTAAATATTTGTTATCATCTTTTACTTTATCTTGTTTTTTGCTTAATAGAACTTCCTCCAATGAGATTTTTGTTTAGTTATTTATATATTCTTCAGGATATTATGATATGTATATGTTGTCCTAAATGCAGCTGTTTAACCTCATTACTTCATGGCAAGACTAACCAATTTTCCTGACATCTAATTTCCTCCATTGTTTAACAGTGCCTTCTTTAGAATGGCTTATTCAAACTACCATCCCCAACTTCCGTAAACTTCAACTCATCCCAAACTTCAGTGCTTGCATTCTTTTAATCCCTCTGTTACATCACCCAACACCTCATCCTCCCTGACTTATGGATTCTCAATGTCTTAGATTTCCCATTTAAAATTCCCATTGTATTGTGTAAAGCCTTTCATAGCCACCACCATGCTTATCCCTGTAATTTTCCCCTTGCCTTGTATCCTCTCTGAATTACGAGCCAAGTTTTTTTTTGCTGGTTGTGGCCTCTCGTGCATCTCCAACATAACCTGAACCATTCCACCACTCTATTATAGCTGCCAAGCCCTCAGTCGCCAGAATTCTATTCTCTTAAAATTTCCTCCCTAAACTGTTCTGATTTTACACTTGACTTTCCTTTATGACATTTCTTAAAAACTGTCAACCAAGCACTTTGGCATTCATCACCATCTCTCTTTTAGCTCATCTTCTGTTTTCTGCATGTTCTTATGAATCAATTCAGGATGATTTTCTATGTTAAAAGTGCTATACAAATGCAAGTTGCTATTGTTGAAAGTGTATAAGCTGTACAAAGATGCAGTGAGAAGCTGGATGATAAAATCATTTGAAACATTGAAACACAGAAAATAGGAGCAGGAGCAGGCTATTTGATCTGCTATTCGGTAATGATCATGGCTGATCATCAAACTCAGTACACTGTTCCTGCTTTCTCCTCATACCCTTTGATCGTTTTAGAACAATATCTAATTATTTTTTGAAAATTTCAATGTTTTGACCTCACTTGCTCTTTGTTGCCAAGAATCCACAGGTTCACCATTGTCTGGGTGAAAAAATTCTCCTTATTTCAGTGCTAATGGCCTACCCAAGATCCTTAGACTGTGACCTCTGGTTCTCTATTCCCCAGTCATTAGGAAAAACCTTCCTGCCTAGTTCTGTTCTATAAGATCCACTCTAATTCTTCTAAACTTCAGTGAATACAGTCATAACCTATCCAGTCACTCTTTATATATCAATCCTGCCATCCCAGGAATCAGTGCAGTAAACCTTCGTTGCACTCCCTTCTTCGCCAGAATATCCTGTCAATATACCAGGTCTCATCTCACCAAGACCCTGTAGAATTTCAGTAAAACATTCCTGCTCCTGTACTCTAATAATTTCATTATGAAGGCCAACATATTATTTACCTTAAACAAAAACAAGTTGCTGGAAAAGCTCACCAGGCCTGGCAGCATTTGTGAAGAGAAATCAGAGTTAACGTTTCAGGTCTGGTCACCAGTCACAAAGAGTTATAAAGATTATATAGTGAAAAACTAAAACAAATTACGCATTTTTTTGAAGACTTAGATTCTTAGATTATATTTGTTCATGGGTTTTGCAATAGAAATCAATTTGTCATTACATATTTTGTATAAACTGAATAATTCCAAGTAGGAATTATACTGCGATGCAAGTTGAGAAAGATTTTACATCTGGAAATCTTTTTTTAGGAAGTATCCGTGCTGCTGTATGATCAGGTTTTTAAAGTACATGAAGGGTACAATAATAAGATTCATCGTGATGATCGAGAACATAGCAACAACCAAGGTCTCAATGTCAATGCTGAGGTATGTTACTAGCCTTTTTAGATAAGAATGATCGTGATCATTGAATTGTTATACCCTGACGAATGGATATCATCCAACTTGCAAAAGAGAGGCAATCAAAGCTGCATTGTCCCTTCAAAAGATGATTGCAAGTATTTAACATTCTCTTGTAGCAACTCAGTTGTTTTTGTCCCATCACTGGGGGCAATTCATTTTTTTTTCCTTCAATTATGATAAAATCTACAAAACTTGGTAGCGTTCTTATGCTACCATATCATTTTTATAATGTTTTTAATGATTTTGAAACATTTCCAAATATTCAAAGAATGCTATGCACAAATATTACCCTGCTAACCAACTCAAGATCAGCAGGATAGTGGGAGAACAAGGCAGAGGCCTCCAACCTTGGGACAGGGTAGATTCTCCACCTCTACCCCCACCTTGATGTCCCTATCAGTTGCCCTTTCTTTAGATGTTGCTTCTTAACTTGTTTTCACCAGACATGGGAACACCCTGAACTGCTGAGTTGCGCTCAAAAATGGGGGCAAATGAGTTCCATACTCCAGTCTTTAGAATGGTTGCATGGCACTGGTTCTTTTCACCTCTAAACTGAAGTTCATTCTTTTCAGATTCAGTTACACTCTAAAAATGAGTTAAACAAATAAATGATTTAACATTAAACTTTGCTTCCATTTAATTTGATGGAATTTAAACATAATTGCTTAAAGACGCCAAGTGTTCCTTTCTTCCTAGCAACCAAAATGGACAGAATTTTTCCCTCAAGTTTTTGAACTGAAATCAGAAAAGCTGAGAAGGTTCATGAATAGTCTGGTTCCTTGTAATTTACCCAATTTGTATGGTACCCAACTTAAAGCTTGTAATATTTTTGATGATTTTTCTTTTGTTGCTGTTGTGACGATACTATGGCTTTAAAAGATATAGTTTGGTTGAGACACAGGTATAGAGTGGTCTGCTTCAAGGTAATAAAGTAAACTGCTTCTGAGGCCTTGGGGATTTTTTTTTAAAGTTGGAACAATAGAAGCAGCTTGAATGGGTGGGGTCAAGATCCCACAGAACCAGGATTTTTAGTTTAGCTTTCAGTAGCTGTTGGGGTTGTGAAAGCTGCTACATCTCTCTCTCTCTTACTCTGTCTTTCTCTCTCTTTGCTACAGCTAAAAGCTTGGGTTCTCTTCCTGCTGCTAGAATTGCATGTGAGACAATCTATTTTACTGACTTCGCCTTTGCCAAAGGTGTGCTATTGAGATGCTACTATATTGGAACAGTTAATGAGGAGTTTGTTACTTTATGTATTTCGACAGAGTTATGGTTAAGCCAATGCTTGTTTTAATTATGTCAGTATTTTAATTATAGTATGAATAAAGTGTATTTTGCTTCAAGCCTAGTAGGTTGACCATTTGAATTGCATCCAGAACACAACACCTGGTACTTGCCTTTAAAATAAGAATAAGTTAGGGTCTAAGCTATCTTCTTGATATGTTTTCAGGGGGTTTGGTCTGGTCCATAACACTGTTATTCTTATTTGTACATATTAAAGAAAAAATACCGTGCAGCACCTTATCACAATTTCCCAGAATCTCAAAGTGCTTCACAATCAATTAATTACTTTTGAAATTCAGTTACTGATGTTAGGTGGAAAAACCATGCATGAAATCATTTCCCATTTTGGGGATATAGATATTCCTAACAGTTGCACTAGAATATGAAGTGTACATTTAGAAGGACATTTAAGCAGGTGCAAGTTATATAAAATATTATGGGATATGTTTGGACATCCAGTTCACTTTCAAAATGTTTACTGTGGTGTTTTCATAATATGCCATTGAATTCTGTTTTGTAAGAAATGTTCAGAAAACATACATTTCACTCTCACAGGCTTTTTTCTCTGTTAGCCTGGTGAGTAAGTACTTTACCTGATGCCACGATAAGCTTTACAGAATGGAATGTCCTAGATTTTAATTTCTGATAAACAAAGAACAATACACCACAGGAACAGACCCTTCTGGCCCCCCAAGCCTGTGCTACGTTTTGCCCTTCTGTATTAAAGCTGTCTTCACTTTTGTAGGATCCATATCCTATTCCCTTCTTATTCATGTGTTTGTCCAGGTGCTTCTTGAAAGCTGCTATTGTGTCTGCTTCCACCACTAACTCTGGCAGTGTGTTCCAGGCACTCACCAATCTTTGTGTGGAAAAACTTGCTTCGCACATCTCTTTAAAATTTCCCCCCTCATACCTTGAATATGTGTCCCCTAGTAATTGACCCCTCCACCCTGGGAACAATCAGTACTAAAGTATCTTGTCTCACTTGTGAAACCTGTTTGCGTTGTTATGGTTGTTTTCAATGCCTTTCTTGGATCTTCATCATTGATTTCCTACACACACAGACCCAATCCACAGCATCATGAGCTCTCTACCATGCGCAGGGCAAGGAGGTAGGTCCTAAATCCACCTCAACTGGAATAGGGAACAAACTCTGTGCTGTTGGCACCAAACTGATCATGCCAGCTGTCAAACCAGCACTCCGCTCCTCTTAAGAAACCAAACATTTTCGCAAGCATGTTGTAGTCTGGAGCCATGTATAGGACGGTGGAGGCTGCAATTTCTTTCCACCACGTGACTGACCAGAAATCTCTCCTGCTGTTTCTGTATGCCCATGGAGTATGTTGAAAGGATTTACAAATTGACACTTCTTTTTGGTCACAAAAACAGAAGTTGCTGGAAAAACTCAGCGGGTCTGGCAGCAACTGTGAAGAAAAAAATCAGAGTTAACATTTCAGGTTTGGTGACCCTTCCTCAGAACTGATGGTAGTTAGGAAAACATTGGTTTATATGCAGAAAATAGGAAGGGGGTGGGGTAGGGGTGTTAATCCTATTGTTAGTCACTGATAGTCTCCATTAACAGCTATTCACCCTCCTAGCCAGATCGTTATCAACTCATTTGTCTATCCCACTGCTGTTTTCTCTCTTTGGGCTCTATCCTTTATCCTATCATTTACTCCCTACCCACCCGGTGGGAATTCTACCTACTGCACCACAAAATTTCCATTCTTTTCTCGATAGGGAATGGAATATTCATCCAGTGTTTCCACTTTCAGTAGCTATGATGGGAATGTATGGGAGTCTGTGAAGGATGGGATTGAGGATACCTGCAGTTATGTGACAGTCAACAGTCTAGACTGAGCATGAAGAATGTTCACTTGAGTTTATAGTATCTGTGGAAGCATACTGTATCATGTCAATTTTTTTGTTTTCTTTATTCATTCACGGGATGAGGGCATCACTGGCTAGGGAGCATTGCATGTCCCTAATTGCCCAGAGGGCAGTTAAGAGTCAACCATATTGCTGGAGTTACATGTAGGCCAGACCAGGTAAGGATGGCAGTTTCCTTCCCTGAAGGGCATTAGTGAACTAAATGGTTTACCCCCCCCCCCCCCCACCCCCGACCAAAACATTGGGCAATGTCATCATTAGATCCTTAATTCCAGATATTTGTTGGATTCAAATTCCACCATCTGCCATGGTGGGATTCAAACCAGGTCTCTGGAACGTTAGAGATAACAAGGTGTAGAGCTGAATGAACACAGCAGGCCAAGTAGCATCAGAGGAGCAGGAAGGCTGAGCAGGAAGGCTTCGGGTCTAGGCCCGAAACGTCAGCCTTCCTGCTCCTCTGATGCTGCTTGGCCTGCTGTGTTCATCCAGCCCTACACCTAGTTAGCTCAGATTCTCCAGCATCTCCAGTTCTTACTATCTCTGGAACGTTATCTGGGTCTCTGGATTAACAGGCCATTGCCTCCCCCTGTTGGATCTGTTTTGTCTTCACTGCCTGTGAAGGTATTGGCATAGAACGTATTGAACAGAATAGCTTCTGCAATTTTTCCCAACGCATTTTGTACACAATCGACTCATAAATTTGAACAATGATTTAATCAGAATAAGGAATGAGAAAGAGATAGCAGGAACTGCAGATGCTGGAGAATCTGAGATAACAAGGTGTAGAGCTGGATGAACACAGCAGGCCAAGTAGTATCAGAGGGGTCTAGGCCCGAAACATCAGCCTTCCTGCTCCTCTGATGCTGCTTGGCCTGCTGTGTTCATCCAGCTCTACACCTTGTTATCGAAGGAATGAGAAAATTGTGTCCACGCATCTTCTCTCCTGGGGCAAAGCTAAATTGGTCATTCAATCAGAAAAACAAACTTTTGACTCTTGAGTTGCAATCCATTTTGAATGGAAAGTAAAACATTTTATTAAGTTAATGCAGGAAGTGTGGAAAAAGTTCAGAATTAGTTTTGTTTTCTGACTTTGATTTCATGAGGAAAAAAATATGAAAACAATAAAACTGTTGAATAACAATAGTGTGTTTAAAATATTATTTGCTTTGGTCTGTTAGCACTATAAATGTTTTTGAGTAATAACTACGTCTTTCTTTCAGGAAAGAGCTCGCACAGTTCCAGTCTTGTCATCATCCATCTATGGTAAACGCCCTGCACTTGAATCAGCAAATCGGGCTTTTGTCAGAATTGCCCGAGTCCAAACAGAATTTTACAGAAGGAATGGTATTGCTAATTATTTGGAAGAGGATCAGGAATGAAAGACAAGTAAAATCAGTCTGATCTGGGCTCATTTTCTCTGTAATTTTAATATATTTCTTTTTAAATATAGATCTTTTTAATAAAACATACATTCTTGATTTAAAAATTTGAAAATCATTCAAGCTTAAAAAGAAATCTGAATTTGTAGACTTTTTTTTTAAATACATTTTTCCATTTCTTCAGAGATGGATGGTCATCCATGAACATTATCTGCAGCCAACTGAGTCCCCTTGGAGCCTCCATGACAGGCTCCCTCCAGCCCCCTTGCATCTTCTATTTTCCCTCCAACATCCCTGGATCTCACACGCAGAAGATGTGAGACATGAGTGTCGCTGGCTAAATCAGCATCACTTGGCCATTCCATGCCCTCAAGTGTTATACAGGGTGTAGGTGAGACTACATCTGGAATAATATGTACAGTACAGGGCACCATACTTAAGGAAGGATGTTAATGCACATGATGCAGTTCCAAGAAGTTTTACTAGACTAATACCTGGTGCCTCTGCAAAGAGATGGCTGTCCACTAGTATTCCTGATATCAGAACAATAGCTATTCCTAGGCCTGGATCACCCTCCATTTCTTGGCAAAGTCGCAGCCCATAGAGTAGAGTCTTTTGCCTTTTGGGACTCTGGCTGGCTGTTTTCTCAGTATTTGTCTAGTTATCACTGTACGATCAGTAATCTCCTGGATTGGGGAAATCCATTACAGGCAAAGAAGATATTGAGCTTTGCTGCCAGTGATGGCACATCTGCTTCAAACTGTATGTGGCTCTCTGCTGTGTCATTGACAACTGCGCTCTAATGTGTTTCCCAACTTTCCATTTCTCCCATGCGTTCCAATTGAAAACAGCAAATTTCTGCACCAAACATTGTTAATGATCTCACAAATCTTTTAATTGGTGGCATTCAGATTGCTGGTTCTCCCTTCCCAACGATTTTTTGAAAATGGCAGTGATATCATCCAAGATTGTGATTTTTAAGTCATGTGGGTGATTTGAAGACCAAAAAGAGAATCCCAGTGACTCATGGGTTGACTGGTTGATAGTCATCCTCATTCACTTCATAATTGAAGACAAATAAATTTATTTCCTCCTCCTCTTTATAATCTTCTTGATCATTTTCTTCTTTCTGAAGTAATGGACACGCAGGAAAAACAACATGACCTAAGAATTAGTATCTTGATACCAGAAAGGGTGAAAAGACAGTGGGTTGTCATGATTTAGGATTTGAGAAAAGTTCATGAATTAATACTAACACTAGACTAGTTCTGCGTGCACAATCTGCAAAACTACTAAACTAGTGGTCATAGAAGTGGCAGGCAGTTCCATTTTGACTTTCCTTCATGTGTCTCAGAAACTCTTATTTACATTTCCGATGAATGAGAACCACTTCTTAACTCCCATTAGAACTTGAAGGTTGATGTTATGAGTTTCTTTTTCTGTTACCCTCACAGATTTTTTTCCCTTATTTGGGTCCACTTGGCAATCCAGAAATGGAAACTTCCAATTTTGCGCAAATTGTCTGGTGAGATATGAGTTCTCAAATTCTGAAACACTATCCAGGATGTTAGTGTTTACCTGTTGTTGTCAATGCTTTTGGACACTTCGACCAGTTTATGTATTGAAAACACTTCATCCATGCGCTCTTGTCAGTGAAGCGGACAAAGGAACACAGAATTCGGTTTGTGGTTCAACTGTCTTCTATTAATAAAGTATTCATTATTAAAACCACAATGAGAACGTTTCCCAAATTCCCAAAATATTTCCTCTCTGTCCAATAGTATCCATCTGAGAAAGGATGTTACCTTGAACGATCCATCTCTTTGAGCTGGGCCATTGGAATCTCCTTCCTCTCCAACGTAGGGCTGGCTTTTTTCCATGAATGTGGGTCTCACAGGTCGGGTGGATGTTCTTCTGGGTCTTCTCAGGTTTCCATATGGTCTTCCGCCATGAGTCTTTCTGCATGACATTGCTGCGAGTCTTTGCTGATGGAGTAATTTCTAGGCGTGTGTTCTTATCGCCTTTTGCCCTGGACATTCCCAAATGTTCTGTGGCCTTTGGCCAATAGGGTCATGAGCAGGGTTCAAAGCATCCAATGGGGTTGCACCAGTACCCTTCACCGTTGCCATGCTAGAGAAGTATAAGGTGCATGTCCTCACGCATTGCTTGGAAGTCAAAATGTCAGAAAGTCTGATCAATGGTTCTCCCTCAGGCTTGTTACAACTGACTCCCCCTGAACCTCTGTGACCACTTTGCTCTTGATTTCCACTGTTCCCTGTAGCTGATAGCTGCTGGCTGCTGTTTAATTTAGTTTGGCCAGTTTTCTGTCAGGCCCTATTTCTTCAGCTATGGGTTGATTTTAGGATGTTTAGTTTTGGGCACATGGTCACTTAACCATATTATTGTTTCCCTAGTCTTTTACTACAGTTGCTGCATGTTTAGAAAGGAACTAGGCCAAGTGTCCACCAGCCCAACAGCACTCCCATTTTATTTGGAATTTGTGCTACCTCATTATCCATCAAACTGCAAATGTATTTGATTCCCAGTTACACTAGTCAGTATTGCAAATCATCAGCATGCATAATTCCTGCCGCTGGAAAATACAAATGAGAAGGATAGCCCCATAGATTTATGATCTTGTTTATTCCATAGGGCAGGATTTTTGGGATGGCGTTATTTTCCACCTGAAAAGTGGACAAAGTCAGAAGTCACATAACATCAGGTTATAGTCCAACAGGTTTACTTGAAATCATAAGCTTTCAGAGTGCTGCCCCTTTGGCAGGTAACTTCTCCACATCAAACCTGAAGAGTGGGCAAAGAACATAGCCCTGCCGTCGCTGGCTTCCCCATCTCAGCCTCACCTGTGAAGTGAGACTTTCACCTGCTACTCATTTGTTGGAAAGTCTAGCCTCAAAAAGATACAGAACATTTGAGGCAGCTCTGTAGACTCAGCTGCGTTACCTGGAGTGGTGCCAATTGCTGGGACTATAAGCCATCCACACAGTCTAAGTGCAGGAGCTCATAGGACTGGTTTGTTGCAGGGGAATTAAGAGTGGGGATGCGAGGCTCTGTGGGAATAGGAAAGTAGGGGTCTTTTTGGAAATGTTAGAGTGGGAGGGAGCAGACCATGGCTCTATCTGGAATAGAGGCCAATGAATTAGGCACCTCTACTTTTCCACCCAATGCCAAAACAGGGTGATCTACTGGGCATCCTGACCACATGATTCTCTAACTCCTCCCACTGGTAAGATTATTACTGCTTGTTGGGATGTTTAGGGACCTCAATTGGGATGGGGGGAGGGGGGCTTCCTGGTTTCCAGCACCCCCCAACCCAAATTGTCAGCAGAGGTACCATAAAATTCTGCCCAGAGAGAAACCTTGATGCCCAAGAATTATCTGAGTTCCTTCCCTCAAACAGCTCCGTGGCTGGAAGTGAAATTCTACACTACAAACCATGAACAAATTGATGTGAGTATTTTTTTTTATTTTTCTCATCCCAATTGTCAACTAAGAATGGGTCAGTGACTGAACCACATTGAAGTCACTTCTTATCAGACCCACTTCCACAGGATGCCTGAATCCAATAAAGTAGGCAGCATGTACCCACTCAATTTACACTGGAAATGCATTGATGGCCATATTGGCCTTGGCTAACCAATTGATGTTCAAGGCATTTGACTGAAGCTGGTGCTGTGATTAGTTTTTTTGGGGGGCACATAGCTGAAGGTTGCCACTTAAAAACTAGTTCTGTGCTTTTCACTTGTGGAACCAAGAGGAGTGCTCCAGCTACATCTTGAACTCTTTCTAATTGCTTATTTCCTGACAGCCACGAGGTTTTTTGCCAAAAAAAGAATTGGCCAATCCTGCTGCATATTGTCCCCACCTAACCTGCATCTGATGGTATGGCTGGTGTTTGCAGTTCACTGATATTATTTCATTTTGGCTCGTGGATGTATTTACCATGGACCTGTCAGCCTCGTTAGGCAGGACCAGAGTGCCCTTAAGGTGTTACGAAGAGACGTGATTCAAATAGTATGTGGACCCAGATAAATGTATCTCGAACCCTGAAACAAAAGTAACTTTGTTTTTGTTGTGGCCAATGCCTTTTCCTTAGTAATGTTGTACCTGCAAGGAACAGATGTTGACAATACACATTTATGTTTAAGGACTAAGTGGAAAAATTGTAAACTATGGAATGGTTTGTACATTTTCTGCATTGGAAAAGGCACTGTGATTTTATCAAGGAAGAAGTCAACAGCTTAACATGTGCTGTAAGCCAGCTACTGTTTATGGAAAAATCAAGGCAAGCAAAGCTTTCAAGGAGATAAAGATGGGATTTATGACCTTTACTTACTGGAAGACCTGGTTGTCGAAAGAATGGTGGGAATGGGGGGTGGCTTTATGATAATAGCTGCCTACCAATTATTTCTGGACCTAGATTTCTGTTTTACAGACCTAAGAGACAGTAAGCAAAACATACAGAAAATGAAAGACTCTCTCGAGGAAATTCTTTTCTGAGTAGATGTTCTGGAACCCAGTAGAGTTTCCAAACATCAGTATTTCTGACACCTTATGACATCTGAAAAGCTGGATTGAACAATTTCCAAAGATTGCTCAGAACTCTCACCATAATCACCCATGGTGATTGCATGTAGGAAAATGGTTGTGGTTGTTGGAGGCCAGTCATCTTAATGTGAGGAAATCCTCGCAGTAGTTAATAACAGTAGTGTCCTAGGCTCAACTATCTTCAGTTGCTTCATCAATGACTTTCTTTTCATCATCAGGTTGGAAGTGGAGATGTTTGCTGATGATTGCACAATGTTCAGCACCATTTGCAAATCCTCAGATTTGAAATAGTCCATGTCCTAAAGGCAGCAGACCTGGACAATATTCAGGCTTGGGCTGAGATGTAGCAAGTAACATTTGTGCCACACAAATGCCAGGCAATGACCATCTTCAACAGGAGAGAATCTAATCATTGCCCCACAACTTTCAATAGTGTTACCATCACTTTCAAATTTCTGGGGGTTACCATTGACTAGAAACTCAACTGGACTAACCATATCAATATGCTGGCCTCAAAAGCAGGTCAAAGGCTAGAAATATGGCAATGAGTAACTCGCCTCCTGTGTCCCTAAAGCCTGTCTGCAATCTACAAAATGGAAGTGAGGAGTGTAATGGAATATTCTCCATTTGCCTGGATGATTGCAGCTGTAACAACATTAAAGAAGCTTGACACCATCCAAGACAAAGCAGTCCAATTAATTGGCATCACATCTACAAACATCCACTCCATCCACCACCAACGTTCAGTAGCACCGGTGTGTACCACCTACATGATGCACCACAGAAATTCACCAAAAATCCTTAGACAGCACCTTCCAAACCCATGACACCTACCATCTAGAAGGACAAAGGCAGATGATAACACCTCCACCTGCAAGTTGCAAGTTCCCTTCGGAGCTACATACCATTCCTGACTTAGAAATATATCGCCATTCATTCAGTGTCCTTGGGTCAAAATCCTGGAATTTTCTCCATAACAGCATTGTGGGTCTACATGGGTTGCAGCTGTTTAAGAAGGTACCTCATCAACACCTTCTCAAGGGCAACTTCGGATAGTCAATAAATGGAATCAACCAGTGATATCCACATCCCACAAGTGAAGAGAACAAAATGCACAACTTATACAATTTAATGAACTTAACTGTTACTTGTTCAAAGCACTTTAAAGTTAAGATTTTGCAGAATTTTCATCTGTTTCTCCTGTTAGTTTTTTTTTTAAGAAAGAGTGTATTTATATATATAAATATGTATATATATATATATAATTGCAAAAGCCAACCTGCTTGCCAATAGTCTTTGCATCTTTGATTTTATATAAGAGAAGTTATTTGTTATTGACAAAAGAAACCTGGCTGACTTGTTCCCAACACTGAACCTGACACCATCTGAGACCTCTATAATTGGCCATATCACTAATCTGGGTCAGTAAAATTTTGTACTGACCAGTGGAGCAGTGGGACTGGAAAAGGAAAGTGTTCCCCTCACAGCCCCCTTCAACTTTGGTAATAGCAACAGATGTTATAGCCTGATTCAGACTCAATTCAACTTTTAGGCTACCTGGTCTTCGCTGTAGATATTAGTCATTGTAATGTACTTTAGGATGCAAAGCCATCTTGAAATACTGTTGACATACTGAAGTACTGAAGAAGGGTTAATGGACCCGAAACATTAACTCTGCTTTCTTCCCACAGATGCTATGAGATCTGCTGAGTTTCTCCAGCAATTTTTGTTTTTGTTTTATGTTTCCAGTATCCAGAGTTTTTTTTTTGTTTGAAACTGGTTTCATCGGTGGTCTCTATCGAGGTATAAAACATTATCTTTTATTTTTTCCACAAAAGAACAACAAATGACAGATTCTGTAAATTAAACAACATACAAACTTTTAATGAATTAGTTATTACAAAACAATGTGACTTTAAATGTGTAACACTTTTGTAAAATTAGGTCCTCGTGATTCTTGTAGTTTGCTCAATTGTAGCAAATAGGGTATCCACAGCCAATGTGAGAGTTTCTAAACCTAAGAGTTTAGATGCAAGTAGCTCTACATATCCAAAACATAGGCAATGAATGTGCAGCTAAAGATGGAATCAAACTATGTACAAATTATATATTTAGAATACTCTTTCAAAGGCATATCACACTTTGCTGCTGAACATGTGATCTTTGATGCTGAATCTTCTGTTTATCAGGTCACCAGATTTCCTTGTGATAATGACCGTGTCATTTCTGTATTTACGAAGTATGTTTTCAGTTCTCCCTTCCCTTTGACATTTATTATTCCTCTGCATGTACAATTGTAGCCAAGTGTTTGTAGGATGTTACTGGTTTCTTCTGTTATCTAGGAATGATTAAAAATGAATCAAATAAACACATTAGTCCAGTAATTTATCCTGTATATGTAATAACGCTTTACATTGAAACAATCTTAAGAGGTTTTAGTAACTTGGTTGTAAAATATTGCAACATAACCAACATGTTGATACTTGGAGACAGTAAGAACTGCCGATGCTGGAGTCAGAGACAACACAGTGTGGAGCTGGAGGAACACAGCAGACCAAGCAGCATCAGAGGAGCAGGAAAGCTGACGTTTCGGGTCGGGACCCTTCTTCAGAAATGGGGGAAGGGGAAAGGACCTCTGAAATAAATATGGGGGGGGGGGGTTGGGGAAGGTAGGTGGGATGGCGATAGGTGAGTGCAGGTAGGCGATGGTTACCGCCTATCATCTATGCAGACAGGAAAAGAAGCCCAGATAAGCATAGAGGACATATTGGGACATGGGCAACAACCTCAATTAGAGGCAGCCCCATGAATTAAAGGTTTGGTCATTCTGGTGTTAGCATGCTGTCTGTTCCTTATTTTTGAAATAGCAACTGACAGACTGCTTGTTTCTGGTTTCTAAAGATCATTGCTTTTATTGCTGGTCAGTCACAAAAGGCCATGGAAGCATCTTGATGTTGATTAAGTGGCCATGCAATATCATGGATAGAGACTGTGTAGAGATTGTCCAGCAATGGCATGTTTAATGGAACTTCTGCAAGTATCCCTCCATTATGTGTCTTGTTTTGGGAAACAATACCTAGTGAAAAGAATAATTTACGATGATGTTGAAACAGAGGACTGGGCCTCTTTATTTGTTTAAATCACAGCTAATATGTATGTTATCCTTAAATCCCATTTTATGGTCTGAAAAAGCATTCCTTAGCCCTGATCCCATGATGTGGGCAGCTAGCTTCCCATATAACTGTTCTATTGATACATGGAGAAATGTTATTTTAAAGTAAGTGTACTGTTATATTATTACATTATTCTAATATAATTTTGGAGTTGTGTCACAATGTGTAGGCATACATAGACAGGTAGAGATTCATACTCTCACTACGCCACCTCTGGTCAGAAATGCTCAAAATAAATGGTGGGCAGAGTCACCTTGGGAATCCACAATTCATTCTGGAAAATTCCATCCTGGAGTCTCAGCAACTGGGGAAAAGTCACCCTCATGAGTAGAATGAAAGAAAATGGTGAGGACTCATTCCTGCAATCACAGGCTTGTTCTCTCTTCTGCTTGCTTCTGACAGGTTCATAGTGAGCAAAGTAAGTGGCAGCGAGAAGCAAGGCTGGAGGTTGTGGGTGTAGGAATGGGAAGTGAACCTGTCAGGCAAGACAGTGAGACTGACTAAAAAGGTCAGTGAGACAGGACAGCAAAACCAGCAAGGCTGGGACCAGAGGACCAGTGGAGTGACATGATGTGGAGGTGCCAGTGTTGGACTGGGGTGGACAAGGTCAAAAATTACATGACACCAGGTTATAATCCAACAGGTTTATTTGAAGACACAAGCTTTTGGAGTCTCATTCCTTCTTCAGGTGTCAGTGAGGGGGTGGCATCAGACACAGAATTTATAAGCAAAAGATCAAAGTGTCATAGAACTGATGTGGTGTTGAACAAAAACAGAAATTGCTGGAAAAGCTCAGCAGGTCTGGCAGCATCTGTGAAGAGAAA